ATTCAAATTTGGATTTTTAGAATGAGTACCCTAATATTTATTATAAAAATACATAATATATATCATGAAAATACGTACCCATGAAAAAACCATATTCAAGGGACTCATATTAATGAATTATTTTTTTTTAAAACTAATAATTTTAATTTTTTTTTTTTTTTTTGTGTACTATTCTAATAGGAACGGTATGGACAGCAATTGCACATGTAATAACAGGGGTAATAGGGGCAGGAGTACTGTCCCTTGCATGGTGTACGGCTCAGCTAGGGTGGGTCGGTGGTCCAGTCACTATGCTGGTCTTTGTTGCCATCACCATTGTTTCAGCAGACCTTCTCTGTGATTGCTACAGATCTCCTGATCCTGAATATGGCCCCACCAAGAGCAAATCCTGCGTGGAAGCTGGTAAATTGTATTTAGGTCAGTGCTTTTCTCTACTAATATTTCAATTTTATTTATTAAAATAAAATTACCAAATCAATGGTTATTATATAAGAAATCCACTTGAAATCAAGGTATCATAATTTGTGGGCTTGATCCTAAATTAATTGAATGAGTCTATAAGTACAGAAATTAGACTTAAAATATATATAAATCAATAAATCTTGCTTATTTATGTGTTTGTAATCCAAATATTATGCAAAGGATGGATCAAGGTAAAATTATTAGACTTTTGAAGGACCAAAGTAATTTTTTTTTTTCAGATTTTGGGATGGGGTTAAAATGTTAATTTCTTGTATGAATATTCAAAATTGCATAGACTAATCAAATTTTATTTTGTGAAGTTTGAGAAAGTTAAAGTAAAATTATATAGATTTAGAGGGCTAAAATATATATATTTTTTATATTATAATAAATGCTTAAAATTGCATTGAACTAATCAAGATTTCGAAAATTTTCCCACCTGGCCTTGGCCCCTTTATGTTCACCAATTTTCGTAGCATAACTGAAGGTGATATTAACTATAATGGCTTTGTGGTATCAAATAGTTTTAAATAATGCTAATTTCTCATCTCACTTGTTTGGTTATTAAGAGACCGTGTGTAAAAATGATAGTGTTGTGCCCCATATTCATTCTTATAAAAGAGTACTACCCAAGAACAACCCCCCCACCACACACACACAAATTGAGTAATTCCAAACCACCACATTCTACTGAGGTTAATTTTCTTGGACAAATTATTATTTTTTTTGAAAAGGCATAAGAGATGATGAATTTGTAATTGTTTTTTCATGAGAGAACAGTAAAAGAATAAGTGGACTGTTTTTGCAGGAAAGCATGTATGGGTGTGGAGTCGCCTTTGTTATTACCTCCGCAGCTAGTGTTAGGTACGCTATTTTGTCCATGTGTATAGAATCTGATTATAGAATTATACATAACTCATGTATGAGAGTTGTGTTACAACTTTCATTTTTTTGTTTTGTTTTGTTTTTTTTTTGAAGTCCCTTTGTATTTATTTAAATGGGTATATGAAATTACAGAGCAATTCAGAAATCAAACTGTTATCACAAAGAAGGGCACGAGGCTTCATGTGACTATGGGGATACAGTGTATATGGTGCTATTTGGAGTAGTACAGATTGTAGCGTCACAGATTCCAGATTTCCACAACATGGCATGGCTCTCTTTTGTTACAGCAATCATGCCCTACTTTTCCATTGGCTTTGTACTTTGCTTTGCAACTGTCATTGATATGCCTTCAAATTCCCCAAACCCCCCTCTCCTTTTTTTTTTAGGATATGATATGAATTATATATATTATGGGACCATTTTTAATATATTTGATTAGAGTAGGATATAATATGGAACCAGACGAGATTGATTTATTTTTGACTATTGGATGAAGAATGAATTTACATCCGGTGATAGAGGATTTGCAATATCTCACCTTTTGAGGGATATAATATTTGAACTTTTTATATACAAAGGAACCAAACATGGGATATAGGGAGGAAAAAAACTCGTAAATCCCATCAGATTTTATATCCGGTCAAACACCCATATCCCCCATCGATATACCCCAAACAAACAGGGCCTAAAGGTGCAAACATGCATTTAAGAGGACAAACTCTGAGACTAGCTATAAATTCGGATATCTTGGGTTCGATTCTCGTTAATGTCTTCTAAGCTTAATGGATACTTGTGATTTGTTGGTAATTTTAAATATCCGGAATTTAGTCTATAGGGCAAGTCCAGAGAACCTTGCCTTGGGAAGCAACTCCCTTAAAAGTAGTAAAAGTTGACATAATTTTGACATTTCGACTAGAAATGAAGCAAATCTCTTATAAATTATAAAATTTAATCTCAAATCCCTTGATTTGAAATCAACTCATCCAAACGGTTTCTTGCTTTTGCAATTGCAGAAAATAAGATGATCATGCAGAGCGTTGGAGGAGACCCAGCAGCCACTACAATTGAGAAATTGTGGTTCGTTTTTCAAGCACTTGGAGATGTTGCTTTTGTCTGTCCATATAAAATTATTTTTCTATAAATACAGGTATAGTTTACTCTCTCCGTTTGATAAATTTCACACTTCTATATGTTTCAAGAATTTTTAAAAAAGAAAAATATGTAAAATTGAATGCAATGAAAAGGATACTTTGAAGTCGCCTCCGCCAGAAAACCGAGCCATGAAGAAGGCCTCCATGTCTGCAATCTTTATCACCACCTTCTTCTACCTCTGTTGTGGATGCTTCGGATATGCAGCCTTCGGGGATAAAACACCGGGAAACCTCTTGTCAGGATTCGGATTCTATGAGCCCTTCTGGCTCATTGATTTCGTTAATGCTTGCATTATTCTACATTTAGTTGGAGGATATCAGGTATATAAACATTGTTTCATTTCAATTTTGATGATGTTACTTTATCTTCGCTGCAGAGATATAATAACATCATGATGTTAGCATAGGAATGCAATATCTTTGTCATTGCTCTGCTTACATATTCGCCATCACAGATGCTTACTACGGCCATTTACATTCATTTGTTAGGTATACAGTCAGCCAGTGTTTGCAATTGCAGAAAGATGGTTTGGTAAGAAGTATCCAAACAGCGGATTTGTGAACAATTTCTACAACTTCAAGCTCCCATTGTTGTCGGGTTTTCAGTTGAATCCGCTTAGGCTATGTTTTCGGACATTTTATGTTATATCAACCACCGTAATTGCAGTGATCTTCCCTTACTTTAACCAAGTTTTGGGAGTGTTAGGGGCACTAAACTTTTGGCCCTTGGCAATATATTTCCCTGTGGAAATGTACCTTGTGCAGAAGAAGATTGGGGCTTGGACTACAAAGTGGATTGTTCTTCAAACTTTTAGCATTGTTTGCTTGATTGTCTCAATATTGGCCTTGATTGGGTCAGTTGAAGGACTTATAAGGGCAAAACTGAGCTAAGGAAAATGGTTTTTTTTTTTTTGTACTTCAGTATTTTCATAGAGTATCATTCACAGAACAGTGTGTTTGTGATAATTTTGATATTACAAAGTGTTTGAGATTTTTGTTTTAAAGCAATAAGCATAGAAGTTTGTTATAACATTCTATATGTATTTTTTGAAATCTATAACATGCATCTGTAAAAAGAGCACATTGTAAGAAATGTTACGCTATTTCGTAGTGTTAGTTATGTTATTTTGTAATAAAAGTTAAAATTAAAGTTATTAACCATTGTGGTAATGTTTGTTCTAGATAAGATAAAGCAAAGGGTTTGCTACAAGTGCAATTTTTTGAACAATTTTTACATAACAAAAAAAATATTTACATGAATCAAATGAATCAAATCACAAAGGATTGGAAATCTGATATGATGCCTGACAATCTTTCGTTCTCCTCTTCTTTTGTTTTTTATTTTTTAAGACACCTAATTTCAGTTTCAGAAAAAGTCTACTATACATTGCTCAATAATTACAAAAGTTATTTTGTAATTAATTAAAATGATTTAATTACTTTTAGAATTCATGAGCCATAATTACAATTTTTAATTATTTAAGGGATACTATAGAATCTTGAGACACGTACTTGGTCTCATGTTTGGAAGGGACTAGATTGAGAGGATCCCCTAATTTTGTTCATAAATTTCTATTATTCTCCATTGGTGGAATTAAGTGTTGAATCTTGTCACACTATTGAATTATAAAGTTATACAATCAAACCAAATATATAATAAATTAGTTCCATTAATAATTAACCCAATCCCCCATAAGTTTTAGTTTGAAATTGGTAATTCTTTCTTTCTTTTCTTTTTTTATTTTATTTTATTTTATTCATATATATATAATGATACTGCTAATCTTTGGGGGTCGGGTCGGCTGACCCACGCTTCCAACATCGCTCTCTGATCACTAAGCCCACCGGGGTACCTGCACAAATGCCCAGCGGGGAACGGGAGTCCCCCAGTGGATCCTTCGACGATCCAGTTAAAAGAGAGAGAGGTTAATGGCGAGTAAAGAGAGAATAATGAAAGGGAACTTAACCTTTTGTGTGTCTTGGAAGCCTCCTTATATCCTTTGTTCATCATTTCCTTGTCCACTCTGACCTGTTATGTTGGTCGAAAGTCTATGCTCTAGCTTGCCTTGTTCATGGTGAGGTTGCATGTTCCAACGTGAAGGGGTTATCGCATTTAATGCTGCAGGGGCCTTATTAATGGCTGATGTGCGGTGCAATAACTCTACAGGATCTTTGTTTACTTACGTGGCTGGTTCTCCTCTTGACAAGCGTTTAGATGCCATTGGTTCTTGATGCAACGTCGGATTTCAGTGGTGTTGGGCTTTAGTGCTTAAACCGTGAATTGGACTCTAAGTGGTGGACCGAAGGCCTCTATGGACCCACTGATGTCAAGTTTACCCCAAAAAAAAAAAAAGAAAAAAAAAACCTACCCAAGTTTCCAAACATCTCGTGTAAAGAAAATTATTTGACACAGATAATTTTTAAAAATTTAAATAAAAAAATAAGTGTTTAAAAAAAATACAAACATTATCCTTTTTGAGTTTTTATGTTTTGAAAGAAAAATGATTAATCATCATAATTTTTATACAAAACACGAGTCATGTCATTCTATGTTCGTACAATGTTTTTACTTGGATAAACATTTATCTCAAAAAACAAAACAAAAAAAACTATAAACAACACAATTAAGATACAAAAAATAATACCAAATATGAACTAGAACACCTCCAACAACTTTTTTTCCCAACTGTTGCAGCCAATTCAGTGAATCTGGAAATCAGTTCGTGTTGAAACACTGATCTTGTTTCATCAGAACAGCAGTTGGAATGCAACCTTTATGCTCAGATTCCTTCGGACAAGTCTCTTGTTTTACCATTATCTTAACCGGTTTCCCGAGTTTTGATTTATCTCTCATCCCTGCGATTTCAAGAGCCTTCGCACAAACAGGAAAACCCTGATCATCCCAGGACTCGATGATCACGCCGGAGCCAATGCATGTTCTTCCCTCATAGAAGGCTGTGAACTGCCCAGCTGCCAGGCCTTGATCATCTTTGGATATCTGGACAACTGCAACTTCATGACCATCTTCGCCACATTCCATTGTCAAGCTACAATCGTAAAAACCAGGGCCATGTCGAACCTGGAAAAAAGAAAAAAAAAAATTCAGACAAATTTACAACAGCAGTGTTGCTTTAAAGAATCAAAAATCAAAGCCTTGGGCTCTCAACAATAATGGTTTACAACGTTTTCCGTAAACTTTTGTTTTCTCATACCAAATGTCAAAAAAATTCTGTTGAAACAATGGAGTGTAACACTGCATTAAATCATTCACATAAAGCTGGGCCATCTCCATACATTTTCCAAAGGGAAATATATATATAAAATAAAAATAAATAAATAAATAACATTTTTTATCGACACAAGCATTTTTAGGAATCTTAACACTATCAAGGTCAGCACATGAATGAAGAGAAATGAATACTGCTGCCAGCAGAAGATTTTGCCTTTCCATGGACAATCAGCTGTTTTTGTATTTCATCTATTGGCCAGTCATTTCCCATAAACTGGCCTCATTATTCCAAAAGAAAAAACAATAGCCCCTTCAGGAAGATTATTCATTTTTTTGTACCAATCCTTAATGGATGCCACATGCATGCAGGGGTGATCAAAAAGATACTAGTGCTCTAACGAAAAATTCCTCTTCACATCTAACAAAAAATTCCTCTTCACAGATAATATGTCAGATATGTTTAAAACCAACTATATTCCTAGAAATTAAACAGTATCTAATTGTTAAAAAAAAAAAAGAAAAAAAAAAAAGGGATTTGGTGATTCATCAGGCTACTACCTTGCACTGGAGTTGATTCATCAGGCTAGGAGGCGAGCCACTAAGCCATTTGAGGGATCCAACACGAAACAAGCGCCTCCTTTTGCCAAATGAGTAATAGTTCCTTGATACGAAGACTACGTTGTTTTTAGCATCCTTCTCAACAACATACCTATTTAAGATGCGGTGAGTACTTGGAAAATTCCCATTATGGCTGAAGTAAGTGCAGAATTTGAGCCAAAGAAATATTGTTGAAAACCAATCTTTGAAGTGTATGGAAATGAAAAATGATAAACTATTTTAAACATGGTCATCAATATAGAACATGAACATCACACTGCATTGGAATGCATTTCACTAGGACAATAATGACTGGTATCCAAAATAATGCTATAAAAGCTTTACAGACCTTATATGAAAATGGTAAATTGCTGCCTACTTTTTTACTTTTTTTTATTAGTGCAGAATTTGAGCCAAAGAAATATTGTTGAAAACCAATCTTTGAAGTGTATGGAAATGAAAAATGATAAACTATTTTAAACATGGTCATCAATATAGAACATGAACATCACACTGCATTGGAATGCATTTCACTAGGACAATAATGACTGGTATCCAAAGCAATGCTATAAAAGCTTTACAGACCTTATATGAAAATGGTAAATGGCTGCATACTTTTTTACTTTTTTTTATTTTTTTTAAATTTTTTTAATTATATTTAGTAATACTATAAGAAAGCAAAAGTAGAGCATACCAGGGACCCCCAGAGAGTCGCAGACCTTGGCGTTGGCCAATCGTGTAGAACCAAAATCCCCGGTGTTTTCCAAGGAAATCTCCTGTCTCGGCTTCCAATATGACACCTTCCATCTCCCCAATGTGTCTTGCAACAAATTCACTAAATTTTATCTGTCAGTGAAAACCAGTTTAAGGAAAAGAAGCAAACACAACTTGTTAAACAAAACAACACTGCAGAAACAGAATAAACAACACAAACCTCAACAAAAGCTCAAGCCTCGAAGGGGCCAAAAAGGACAAAAAGAAACAAAATAAAATGAAAAATCTATCCAAGACTCTTACAAGTTACAAGAACTAAAAAATAAAACATCAACAAACCCCTCCTCTACCCCCCTCCACTTCAACCTCTTCTATCTCTACCATCGTAATTGATGGTACTGATCAAATTCTTTACATACCTTCCACTTCTGATTTTGCTTCTCCCACTCCTCCTAGCAGAGAATGTTTCGTTGGATGTGCTGACCAAGCCCCTAACATCTATTCTGGACAGCAATCCAGGCCCAAACCCCTTAAAAGCCTGCATGGAGAAGGTTTTCCTCTTGCTCAGCCCCAAAATACTCCGAGGCTGTTCATGAAGCCCAAAGTTCAAAAACTTAGGTACACTCACCATCTGATAGAATCTTTTTTGCTTTCTTCCGAATACGGCCCATAACTTCTTCTAGCCCTAAATAAATTTTCACTGGGTACTTGCCTCTCTCAGCCAGCCCATTTGAAAAATCTCTGCTCCAGCCGATTCCATTCCCTCATTAGACAAATGGCATACATTCTTTATGTGTCCTCTTATCCACCACATCTCCTACCCCTCTTCCAGATATGTGTTCTCAATTAATAGTTTTCAGAGCCCTTGACAGAGCAGAATGACGAGAACGGATTCATGTAGCTGACTTCACCTAATATGGACACAAGGCTCAGTTTCATTTGGTTTGGTAATGAACAGTTATCAGAATTCATTGGATTGAACCTCTCTATTACCTAAAATGCAGGGACTTCTTATAATACATATGTGCATATTGTAGAAGTTAACAAGTCCCAAAAATTCACAACTCCTACAGCTATGATTATGGATGGCATCAATGCTTAGAAGTTCTACATTAAGATATAAATGAAAATTCTTCAATTGAATCAGTAGTTATTAGGGAAGGCATACCTTTCCAAGGAAGCATATTCCTTGAGAATCCTTTCTGTCTTTATTAGGCAAATCAAATTTTTTCGCAAGGTAACGGACTTCATCCTGCAGATTATTTGGTAGTGTAAAAGAAGAAGAATCAAAAGGAAAGATGTACGTCTCAGAGTTCTGTCAAATACATGGATTCATATTTCTTTTTAAAAAATAAATAAATAAAACTAAAACTATCTCAATGTAAGTGCAATTTGCTTTTTGAAAAATGATGAGGATTGAAGAAACAAACTGCACATCTATACCATACAAAGGGAAGCCACCCTACCACTTACTAAGAAGTTGAGTTTCTACCAATTACAAAGATGAAAGTTTTAGTACTTAGCAGTAAAAGCACCTAAAAAAAGAAAAAGAAAGAAGAAAAAGTAAAGCATCCAATTCATCAACTACAAAATGGATGAAGTGCCCAGTTTCACGAAGTAGCCTCATCCAATGGCTTGTTCCCCCAAAAACAAGAGAATACAGGCAAGCCATCATTTCGTATCATGCCTTTTCCTTTCTACCATAATGTGTGGTACTAGTTTAATTTGTTTAAGAACTATAGAATACTGTGAAAAATGAAAATACATAACAAGTATTGCCTACGATCTCAATTCTATAATATACACAAAAACCATATAAATTTGGTACAAATGTTAGAACTAATTTTAACCAACCTTTGGGATACATCCAAGAGGGAAAATCAACCTTTTAAGTTGGCACTGTGAGAGATGTGAAAGAAAGTATGTTTGATCCTTTACCTGAAAAGTGAAAATCAAAGGTATAAACCACAACAGGCATTATGAAAAGAAGATACGATTACCTAATTTTAACAACGAGAACCACTCATCGATTATTTGAACTAAGTTCTAGGCTTTTGAAATCTAAGACGC